TCTTTTACTTTCAACATCTCTGTACATTTTAGATGTGTCTCTTGTAAATATAATATAGCTGGATTTTGATTTTTTAAATACAGCCTGATAGTCTTTGTCTTTCAACAGAATCATTTGGTCCATTTCTATTTAATGTAATTATTAATATATTTGTGTTTAAATATACTACAGTTGATGCCATGGTAAGTCACCCAAATCTCCTATACTCCCAGCACTGAGGGAATGTGAGTGCTCCTCTCTGCTGGGAGCACTCACATTCCCTCAGTGCCGGGAGTATAGATAGTAAAAAGCTCTCGGCTAAGTCCTTCTTTAAGACTTGCCCCCAGGTAGAGTACAACCTTGCCCAAGGTCATGTCCCCTGTGAGGATGGGGCAGAGAATGGGAATCTGCATCCACTGACTGGTCAGTGAGCGGGTATAAAGGTCTGGACCTTTGCATTCCAGCTCCAGACTTCCCTGTAGGGTCAACTGAGGCCTTTGTTACCACTGCATTGCAGTTTAACTTCTTCCTCTGGCCTATTCTACTTCCTCACTCCCCAAACATGTTAATCCCAAGAGACCACCCCAAAAAACTTGCTGCAGGGAAATCTCAGTTTCTAAGTTTGTTTCACAGGGAATTCAATCAGTGACATCTATCATCTTACTATTTGTTTTCTACTTACCCTGCCTATTCTGTTTTTTTTTTTTAACTTTCTTGCCTTCCTTTTGACTGATTATTCTTTTAATAATTATTCCATTTTTCCTACATTAGCTTGGAAATGATATATTCTTTTTCTATTCCAGAGTTTATCCTAGAAATAACAACATGCATCCCTGAATCATCAAAATCTAAAGTTAACTGACTGATACTTTTACCCTATTGTACAATATTGCAAGGACCTTAAACACTTTAACTCTGTTTATCCTTCTCCCAATTTATACATAATTGTTATTCTAGGGTACATCATGTAAGTGGAATCATACAATATTTGTCCTTTTGTGGTTAGCTTATTTCACTTAATGTAACATTTTCAATATTCATCTATGTTGTAGCATGCATCAGAATTTCATTATTTTAAATGGTTGAATAATATTCCATTGTATGTATATACCACATTTTGTTTATCCATTCATCTGCTGATGGACAATTGGGTTGTTTTCACCTTTTGGCTATTGTGAATAATGCTACTGTGAACATTGGTGTGCAAGTATCTGTTTCAATCTCTGATTTTAATTTTCTTGGTATATATACCTAGAAGTGGATTTGCTAGATCATATAGTAATCTATGTTTCACATTTTGAGAAACCTCCATACTATCTTTTTGATTCTTTTTTACATATTACAATTCTCTGTTGAAATTATCCACTGTTTAATCTATTTCCTCTACTTTCTTTCCTATTTAATTGAACATGAATATAGTTATTTTTATATCCTTTTTGAATAACTCTAATATCTGGATCATCTGCAGATCTGCTTCTAGTGTCTGTGTTTATCTCTTGGTTTTTGATCATGTTATCTTGTCTTTTGGCATTTCCTGTAATTTTTTACATAATGTCTCCAGAAAGGATTTCTCTTCCCTCTAGCAGGCAAATGTAATGGTAGTTTATCACCTTAATCTAATTAAGGGCTGTGTTGAGACTGGGCTGTAGTTCTGGTAAAGCTCGAGCTACTTACGTCCAAGGGCATAGCCCTTCAGGGTTTTTAACTGAGAGTTTGGCATTCATTGGGGCTTCTCCCTCTGGCAGGTTCATAACTCTAATCTGTATCTTGTGAGACTGCCAAAATGACCAGCTTTTCAAAGGCTCTCCAGTGAGATTTTTAGTCTCCCATTCTGCAGAGCCCCAGGAATTGGCAAATATCCCAATGGAATACTGGCTGTATGCATGAAATTCCCCTCATTTTTGACAAAGGCACTGCTGGTTTCTTGTTCCCAGAAACCGCTCTTTGCTAGTATAGAGTTCTGCTTCTCAGAGCCCTGCCCATGCCCAGAATCAGCAAATTCCCCAAGGGCAAAAAAGGCTACAAAAGTCAGCTCACCATTCTAAGGTTCTTTCAGTTCTTATTCCTGGGGTTCATCCCTTTAGGGTCCTAGCCCAAAGCATGGTATACTAGGGTTCCCACCCTTGGTTAGATCTGGACTAGGTTTTTATTTCTCCAGTCCAGAAGACTGTGTAGTTCAAGTCATATGTCTTCAGGCAAAAGAAGCCACAAAAACCAGGCTCATCTCTCTCAAATCTTATCCTCTCTCAGATCTTGAGAGAGTGATTCCTCCCTATCTTGTTAGCACTTTGAAGCTTGAAAATATACTTTTAAAATATATCCTGTTCACTATTTAGTTCTAATCCTAATTCCTATGCAATATTAGTACTATCTTAGCTTAGTATGATTCACCTTAGTACTACTATTTATGGTAGATTTTAAGAACACAATTCCAAATACAGAGTAACTACAATTTTTTTGAAGCCAGTCTTAGGAGAATGAAGTATATAATTAGACTTAGGAACCTTTTTCATTTGTTCAGTTTTAGTAAGATTAAATAATGCTAGAATTATGTTCTCTCTCTTTTTTTTTTTCCTTCTGAGAAAGGATCTTGCTTTGTCACCCAGGCTGAAGTACAGTGGCATGATCACAGCTCACTGCAATTTCAAACTCCTGGGCTCAAGCAACCCTCTTGCCTCAGCCTCCTGAGTAGTGGGAATACAGACGTGTGCCACGACATCCGGCTAATTTTTCTATTTTTTTGTAGAGATGGAGTCTTGCTCTGGCTGGTCTTGAACTCTTGACTTCAAGCAATCCTCCTGCCTTGGTCTCCTAAGGATTATTGGCATGAGCCACTGCACCCGGCCTGTTTTCATTTCTTTTTATTTTTTTTTGAGACAGAGTCTCACTCTGTTGTCAGGGCTAGAGTGCCATGGCATCCGCCTAGCTCACAGCAACCTCAAACTCCTGGGCTGAAGTGATCCTTCTGTTTCAGCCTCCCAAGTAGCTGGGACTACAGGCATGCGCCACCATAGATAATTTCTTTATATTTTTTTAGTAGAGACGGGGTCTTGCTCTTGCTCAGGCTGGTCTCAAACCCCTGAGCTCAAACGATCCGCCCGCCTCGGCCTCCCAGAGTGGTAGGATGTTTTCATTTCTTATAAGTTAAGGGGAAATTAAATTAAAGTGCAAAATAAGGAGGCACTTCAACTATAATTTACTCATGACAGAATATATACCAATGTATGCCTTACATTTGAAGGATATTGTATCAATACGAGGTATTTAAAAGGATATCCGTTTTATTTTGGCTTAATCTCTTGGAACAGAATTTCTAAAATTACCAAATGAAGTTAACAGGTCTTCCTGGGAGGGTGTGGTAGGGATGTATGTTTTTCTGATCAAGTATATTTGCTCTCTTGGAGATCCATAACGCACATTAGTATATTAAAGACCCTAAGAAGTCCATAGTAAAGTCAGCTATGTATCTTTGTTTAGCAGGGAAATATTTTATCCATGGAATACTTATTAATGTGACCCAAGGCACCTAGTTTGAGAAAAGTTGCCTACAGAAATGGAAATAAACATTTCAAATAGTTTTGGTCATTTGTATGCTATTATAAGCAATTATGTAACTCCTGCTTTCTCCTTTTTCAGTGAAGGTGAACAGCTTGAGTTTTGTGGTTTTTTGTTAGCTACAGTAAACCATAACTTCTTTTGTCAGTCTTTTCTGACATAGGGTATCAGAAAGAGTATGAGCTTTATACAGAGACAGAATTAGGATCAAATTCTGGTTCCATCATCTTGGGAAAATTCCTCTCTTTCTCTGGGTCATATTTCTTTATCTGTAAAATGGACTTGGGGTGTTTCATAGTATTATTTTAAGGATTAATGAACGTGTAAAGTACCCAGAACATTGATTGGCCCCAGAAGTTTCTCCTATCTTAAAATTCCTCAAGGATCTGGAATGGCCAACTGTGATAGACATGGGATTGACATCTTTAAACCCTGATTTAGGACTCTTCTTTACTAATTCCTTCCCTTGCTTCTTAGATTAGTAATTTCTCCCTTGCCCAGTTAAGAGACTGTAACATTTCCAGGGAATAATGGTTTTTTCATCTTGACAGATAGAGTACCTAGTATTAAACTGATATTTATTTTCTTAGAATTTTGGGAAGCTTCAGGTCTCCTTGTCTTATGTTCCCATGCAGCTACCACTGTAATATTTGAGTTATATTACTTTAATCACTCATTTCTTTCCTGTTCAACTGTAGGTTTTGTAAGGTCAAGGACATCTTATTCCCTGCTATATGCACACACCCAGCACCACTGGCCTGGGTAAAAAGTAATCATTCAGTAATTGTAGAATCTTTAATAAGTGATTAATTGGGATCCTCCAAATCATTATTATTAAAAATATAATTATGAGATGAAATGTTTTAATATTACTTATATTAGAAGGTATGGGTAAGAAACAAGGAGTTAAATTTACTTGAAATCCTTAAACATTTAAAATATTAGTGCTATGGAACCAATAATCACTATTAGAAATCATAGAGTGAGCCAGTGATTTTCCTGAGATATATCCAATCATTAGGATAAAAATTAAATAATCGATATACTTATATGCTTTTTTGATAAATTTTGATATTCAAGAATGACTCCATTTATTTAAAAGATGTATTCCAAAAAGGTTGCCTATAAATAATACTTTTATACTCTAAACATTAAAAAACCAATCTGATTAGAATAAACTAAACTTCAAATATATTTAAAAAATAAAAATCCTTCTTTGTAATGAAGATGCTCCCACATTGACTTATCAGTATTATTTATATACTTAAAATTTTGAGTACTAGAGTTGTCAAAGTGGGGAAAACTCCTACTAATCTGGGCATATCAAAAAGCTAAGAAGTTGAGCACAATTATCATGTCAAATTTACTTCAATTTTTGAAAATACTTATTAGCAAATACATTAAGTAGTAAATATAGCATGCCATTAACAGACTTTTCAGTAAACTAGGAAATTAAAAATACTTACTATTATTTTCTTACAGTCCTTTCCTCTGCATAATTCTGTATAGGTAGAATACTGCACATATATAATCCAGCTTCCAACAAAAACCACCAACCAGGAAAAGAAAAGATATTTCATCCGCACATATGAGAAGCGAGCCTGTGAGTAAAAGAGCACATAACAATCATTCATGCAACCCCAAGTCAGTATTCACTGTCCTAGAACATGATTTTCTCCTCCTTCTTGGAATAACTCAATATATATTCGAGGCTTTCATATGTCAATTCTAGAACAAAGTGTACTTTCACCGAGTCCAAACAGCACTGGTCTTAGAAAAGGAAGCTCCTTGGTTCTGCCAAGGAAAAGGAGAACAAAATATCCTTTAAGATGTATAACCTTTCAAATACCACCATCATCCAAAGCTACTTAGTAAGCACAAGCACGTGTACCATGCTACCCTGAGCACCATGTAAGATCAGGTAGAAAGACACAACTCTCATTTATCAGGAGCTTACAAAAGACTGTTTCACGTAAGAATCTTAAAGGTCTTTATGAATAATCATGATAAAAATAATTTTGTTTTAAAGAAATAAGAACAGAGAATCTTGTTATTTGTCTCATGTCTCATAGTGACAACCAGAATAAGAAATTACACTCCGCCATCATTTCCATTTCCCTATTGTATTCACCCGGGCTTTATGTTCTTTCTATTCAACCAACCAAACGTTTCATCTAATACACATTCTGGAAACGAAGAAGAATGTTACAACTATTAAAGGAGAAATGACTGGAGAAGAAGGGTGAAGATATATTAAGAATAAATTACTCTTTGCATGTCAACTTATAAAGCCACACAATAGGACCCTCATTGCATTATTTTGCTTCCAGTGCTCTGGTATCTAACTGCAACTTGGGCTGGTTGTGCCTTTTCTCCATCAACCACATATCAAAGCAGTTTAATAAAAGTGACAGCTGGTGAAGATAATTTGACATTTATTTTTTGGGTCTGGAGCTCCAATGGTCTGGTTTTATAAACAGTAGAATTGAGGACTATGAAGAGAATTGTGCAGAATAAATTAAAGATATGCAAACAAACAATGAAAAGCTAGTTTTGCTTTTACAATCACGAGCCAGTTTCTCACACTGGGAAACAGTAGGATACTGTGAGCACTGAGGGCTTGCAAAGAAAGCAGAAAGAGATGAAAGGAGCATAAGTGCCCCCGCAGAAGACAACGAGTGCAAAGGAAAAGAGACTCGGGAAATACTGAATCCTGTTGGCCGTTTCTGTGGTTTAGATATCTTTGTGAGGTTAACAGATGGTGAATCCCAGTACCAAAAAGCTTGAGTACAATGAATTCACAGTTAAATAATAGGTCTTTGGGTTTTACTATTAAAATTAAAAAGTGCCTTTAATGCAAAATATTTTTTGTATAGCTCTCAATGAATTCAGTAAAAAGAAAATTCAGATAGAACTCCAAATTAATCACATAAATGACAATGGAGTATATACCAAGGGGTTTGTTTGAGACATTTAAGATTACTTGGCCCTAATAAGCGGTCTGGTCGTCAGACAGAAATTGACATGTACTAGTACTGAGCCTAAATAAGATTAAATGATATAAGGCCTACAGAACATAAGCACATTGCTGAGCACATAGTAAATACTCCACAAACATTAGTTAAATCAATTTGCAAGTCACTGAGCAAGAGCTCAACAATGCTGTCAGTGGCTACCACCTTCTTTTTGAACTTGCCAAAAAGAAAACTGAATCTGAATCTGATCAAGCCAGTTTACAAGAAATACAGGAGACAGAGGAACACAAATGACACTTAAGTAAATGACACTATGAGAATACAATCAGCAAACTCCAGGCTGTGGGAAACACTGCAACACAAACAACTCAGTTTCTTCAACAAATAAGTTACAAGGGGGAGGGGGAAGAAAGGGAAACTTAAAGATTAAAAAATATTCATGAAATATTTCAAATAATCACACCATGTGGATCTTTTTGAGTCTTGATTCAAATGAAAAACTTTTTAAAAATGATGTTTATGAGACAATTAAAAATTTGAAGAATGACAGGATACTTGATGTTAAAGGATTATTTTAATTTTTTAGGTGTGATAATGGTTCTGGGGTAATATTTAAATATTTTGCTTTTCTCTTTCTCTCAACTAGCTACATTTTTCTATTTCCTCTGGCATATTTTAAAACTGAAGAACATCCTGCGAACTGGTTTGCCCGATGGATGACTGCTTGTCATGGTAAAGAATGCCAAAAATTCTGGAGAGGAAGTTAGATTAATGATGTTACAGGCAGGGCCCTGGGCATCACTTGCTGTAGACATAATGACAAAAAGAGTGAAACACATTTTTATTCCAGCATGCCATGGAAAACTGCTGTGATTTCGGGGTAACACAAAACAGTGAAAGGACCTTCATGTGTCCTTTAATATCTGCAGATCCTGGAGCCTTACATTTTAACACAATGACTGGAGAAAAAAACAGCTGTAAATTATATTTGTAGCTATTAACTAATTTTATTCCCCTGTGTGGCTCTCACTAAAATGTTTCTAGTGGTCTGTTCTGTACCAATTACCTAGACAATCTTATCTTTGATTAAGAAATGTAGCCTGACCTTTTTATTTATGCTACATTATCCGAAATTACTGCCTAGCAGCTTTTTTAATCTGCAGATTTTGGGCCTCGCTATTGGTGGTATATTACTTTATTCCAAATTATGCCCCTGAAAAGCATGGTAAGAATTTTAGTAAATGCACCATGGCAGTGATTCTCAACCGAAGTCAATTTTGCCCCCTAGGGCTGTGGTCTCCAACCTCTGGGCTGTGGCCAGGTACCTTTGTGGACGGTTAGGAACCCGGCCATGCATCATTGTCTGAACTCCACCCCCACCAACCCTGTCCCCCAACCACCCCCCTGTCCCCCCACCACCTTTCCATGACCCGGTCTGTGGAAAAACTGTCTTCCATAAAACTGGTCCCTGGTGCCAAAAGTGTTTGGGACCACGCCTAGGGGACAGCTGGCAATGTCTGGAGACATTTTTGGTATCACCAGTAGAGATTACTACTGGAATCTTGTTGAGTAGCAGCAGAGATGCAGTATAACCCCTCACAACAAAGCATTATCAGGCCCAAAATATCCATGGTGCTGTGTTGAGAAATTCTGAATTATGGTTACATAAAATGAAAACAAAACTTATGGGTTGAAAGAATCAAATTTGTATGACATTATCATTTTATTTTAAATTAGCCTTTATTACTAATTTAAAAAATATACTAACATCTGTCCGGAAATAATAGAAGCAGTTCTTTATGACTAAAGTAAATAATCATCAATCTTTTATTGTAAATAAAAAAAATCATCAGAGATGGAAAATATACACATGAAGACAAAAACTTTACCCATTCCACTCTAAATAACAGTGATAAATTTTCTCCTTTTTTATATTGCTTGATCTGATTGCGATAACTTGTTTTAAAACAGATCTGAAAATCTTTGATCTTGATTATATAATTTTACATTGTTTTTAAAATAGGCAAAAAGAGGCAACACCGAAATTTAGCCATTTAAAACTATTATTACTTATCTGTTTTCCATATTAACATCTTTCATAAACATATAAAGCACAAAGTCTGATTTACTTCACCCCTAAATACTCCATATACAGATGATCTTAATTTTGAGGACTAGGAGAAAAATATATATCATATCTTTACTTTTGCCTACAAATATTTTGCTTAACATATTTAGTGACTTGAACACTCAGAAAATATAAAAAATTGATCAGGTTATCACTTGCAAAAGCTCAAATACAATTATTCTATCATTCCATAGAAAAACCTAGAAACATGTTTTTGCCCTTTTTATTCAATTTTTTCCATAGCCAGTTATTCTGCAATAATCTTCAAAAACACGTTTTTCTTATTGTTATGGTGATAACATTGTAGCTAGATGACTTTTATAGCATTATTTAGGAGAAATCTTATTTAAAAATATTAGTTAAAATTATTTACTCATATCCTCAAATATAACTTTTACCATTGTCTTTAAATAAATTCCAGATATTTGTAATAACAATACTTTTGAAAAACATGCTAGCTGTATAAAACAGAGATATCAAGAAACCATTTAATAGGGTAGATATTTTCGTGCACATCTCAACACATTAATTAATTTTATTGGAATGGATCCTATACCCTCATTAAAGGGTGTCTCACTGCCAGTTGGAGGGCTACTGGAAAACCATTAAGATCTAAATGTACCAAATTTAAACTGTCCTAGTGATAATTTTCAGAAACATCAAGAGACAGCTATGATATGCAATCAAAGAAAAACAAAAAAAGAACTCTTATGTCATTCCAAGCATGAAAAATACTGAATTTTAAAATTTAAAATAATGAAAAGGTCTTAAAAATGTCTGTCCTCCCCAGTTTTTTTGAGCATCATGAATGCTTTTTTATGACAAAACTTTCAATAAGAACTCCTTGTCAAAGGGCATTATTAGTCTACTGGTCAGAGTTTTAGCATTCTTATCTTTGCAAGAGGTGAATTTTCACATTTGTAGAAAGAATCCTAGTTGTTCTCTGATCAACCTAAACATTTTATTTGCATGAGCATATTTTATGATTTGATTTTATGAATACTCTAAAGTTTCAACAAGGAGCAGATAATTTTCACATTTTCTCTAAATGCTGGTTCCTATTTCTTATGCTTAGCAGCTGACAACATAAAAATGCGAAGAACACCTGGGGAATTAATTGCATTGGGGTGATTCTCAAGCCTGTGACTAGGCTCAACAATAAAATATTATTTCAAAGAAGTGTCAGAGTATTGGAACATGCTTATGATATAGTGAGTGGAAAAAAATCAGGTTTCAAAATCACATATATGGTATGTTCCCAATTCTGTAATCCCAGCACTTTGGGAGGCTAAGGCTGGAGGATTGCTTCAGACCAGGAGTTCGAGACCAGCCTGGGCAACATATCAAGACCTCATCTCTATAAAAAAATTAAAAAATTAGCCAGATGTTGTAGTGTGCACCTGTAGTCCTAGCTACTGGGAGGCTGAGGCAGGAGGATCACTTGAGCCCAGGAGTTTGAGGTTGTAGTGAGCTATGATCATGTCACTGCACCCCAGGC